AAAAAAAAAAAAAAAAAGAAAAGAAAATTGAATGATATAATCATTTTGTACCCGGCAATCTCCGGACATATTTCTCAGATCCAGTTAATCCTTTAATTTTAACACACTTTACTTACCAGACAACAATTCATATTCAAATTCATTGTTTTGAATTTTCACGATGCAAAGCCCATCGGGGTCGCCGGCGCAGCCGGAGGAAATTCTGGAATGGCTTCAGCAAGAAACGGGCTACCGGCCTTTAGGGCCGTACTCTTCATCATCCAAGGCGACCTCAATGCCGACTGCCGACTCTCTCCGGAAGGTTTGCCGCGGTAACATGATCCCAGTCTGGAACTTTCTGCTAAAGCGTGTGAAATCGGAGAAAACGGTCGATAATATTCGAAGGAATATTCTTGTTCATGGCGTAGATGGTAGTGGTGGTGGCCACGATGTGAAGAACAGTAGGGGGAGGAGTAAGGATAAATTAGGAGCAGGGAAGGAGGGTTTGGCGGATAGCAGTAGTAGGGAAATGGCGTTGCAGGAGAGGGAATTGGCAGAGAAAGAAGTGGAGAAATTGAGGCAGACTATGAGGCGTCAGCGGAAGGAGTTGAAGACGAGGATGCTGGAGGTTTCGAGGGAGGAGGCTGAGCGCAAACGCATGCTGGACGAGCGATCTAATTATAGGTTAATTGATTTTCTTTACTTTTTGCAGTGTGTAACACCTTATTGTCTTTTCCTATTTTAGTTGTTAATAAGAGAAATAATCTGATCAATATGATGATGATTTTTCGTATTGGATTTTAATGGGACAATGATGCTTTAGGCACTTTAGAAACTGGTGAATAGTCAAGGTTCTGTAGATTGTAGCTGTGAATAATGTATCTAGGGAGCTAAAATTACAAAAGACATTGAGGAGATGAACTATTCTCGATCTACAACGAAGTGGATTGTTTGTGTGCACGTTTGGTACTGGACAGGACTTGTAGCATAACAAGCAAGATATTAGCTTATTTTTCCTTATTAATATTGACCATTGCAGTCTAATCTATCCTATCATAAATGGACATTTTTGAACTAACTGTTAAATGATCAGAGTGCAAATAGTAGTAGGTTCTGTTTTGCCTTTTATCCTCACATATGGATGAAGGGTGTTCTAATTTGAAACTTAAACTGGGCATGAATGTATACACTGTGATTCGACCTGATTATTAGATTATCCACCCTGTCAAAAACAATACACTCGTTCATGTTGGAGTTCGATACAAGAAAAAAGTGGTCAAGTAGTTATAAGTGATGATTGAATTGGAAAGTTTATATCCAAATTCTAAGAAAATGAAGTAAATTAATACCATATTAAATCTCAATATGCAGGCACAAGCAGGTAATGTTGGAGGCTTATGATCAACAGTGTGATGAAGCGGCAAAGATATTTGCTGAGTACCATAAACGTTTACATTATTATGTTAACCAAGCTAGGAATGCTCAGCGATCAAGTGTTGATTCGCGTGATGAAATGGTTACCAGTTTCCATGTAAATAGTGAGAAAGTAGCTTCAGCTGTTAAAGGCGCCAAATCTGCAGATGACGTCATACTTATTGAGACAACGAGGGAAAGAAATATCCGAAAAGTGTGTGAATCCCTTGTGATGCAGATGACTGAAAAGATTCACAGCTCTTTTCCAGCTTACGATGGAAGTGGAATCCATACAAATCCTCAGTTGGAATCTGCAAAATTAGGAATTGACTTTGATGGTGATTTAACCACTGATATTAGAGATGTAATTGTAGATTGCATAAAAAGTCCTCCCCATTTACTGCAGGCAATCACTTTGTACAGCCAAAGGTTGAAAGCTCTGATTACTGGAGAAATAGAGAGAATTGATGTTAGAGCTGATGCAGAAGCCTTAAGGTATGTATATACTTGTCTCCTTCTGGTGTGTTCTCATTTATTCACTTTCCTACTTAACACAATTTGAGATGTAATGAAAGATTAGTAAACTACGTTCTGAATCTTCCTGTCCTACTATTTGTCAGTCAGTTGACTCAGTTCTCTGTTCACGGTACATCATATTGCACCTCTGTATTGCTTGCCAAAGCATTCCTATTCTGCAGGTTATCTATGCTGCTGCCATTATGTTTGGAAGTCAATGCTACCCTCCAACTTTTTGATTGATTGAGGTGTTTTTTCATATTATAAAGATAAAGCAGTGCACTTGAGAAATTCCATTCATATTTGTCAATTGTTAATGATGGTTGCAAGTTACTTATTGTGATTCCATTCCAGTGTATGAGCTCTTAGTTGATATATTTTGCGAGCCATTATTTATATGATTCTGAAAATATTGGAACTACTGTTTCTTATCTTCACGGTTGTTTTTCTTAACGTGGTAATGTCTGTCAAATACTTCTTAAAGTATACTGAAGAAGGTGGCATTATTTCGTTTTCTAGGATGATTTATAGTTTTTGAATTATATTGAAGAAGCACCTTGGAATCTAGAGGTTTAACCTGTGATATATAAAGGTTAAAGCCTGGCAATGTGGCAAGGCCAAGCTGAACCTTTACGAGCCCATGCCTAGGTGCAAAAAAGCATTTATCTTTTTATTTATTCTAAAACTATTAAATAAATAAGATAATGCATACCGGACATCTAATATCATAAATAATACAATTACTTAATAATTCCTACAATTATGCAATTTTCAAGTTTCCAAAAACTATATAATTTTCAAATTTCCAACTAGACAATTTCCACTTAATAGATTTATAGGAACTTCATAAATACTTTTGAAATTACCAACGAAAGAACTCTCAAAACTGTAAATACATAGTTACTTAAACATTCCTACAGTTTAAAAAATTAAAATAGTCATGGTTATATATTGTTAAATGTCCAAGACTTTGATTTATATATTTAATATTAATTTGGTTAATGGGTTCAAGAGATAAATGGGTTCAAGAAAATTGGAAAAAAATTTAAAAAAAAAAAAAAAACGTGCACCTAGGCCCGCATTAGACTGTCAAGAAAAGAGTTGACCACCTTTTCGCACACCGAGGCCGTAGGTAGGGCGCTTTGACTACGGTTCGCACCTAGGCTTGCTTTTTAGAATATTGGGTTTAACATAAAACAGAACTTAGATGGAACTTACGAAATACATAGAATGACAATTAATCATAGTAGAAATAACGATGGTAATGGAGTCGTAATAAAAGTTACATGGTCCTCAAGAATGACTGTTTTAAGTATCTAAGTCTGATTTATAATAAGAAACAAGAGTTGAAAATGATTTATGCATTGAATAAGAGTCGTTCAAACACTATGGAGAAATGCTACAAAATTTCTATGTAATCTGAAGGTGCCAAGTTAAAAGGCAAGTTCTACACAGCTATGAGACCAACTATGCTTTATAATAGTAAGTGTTTAGAATGCTTAAAAGACAATGTCCATGAGACCATGGCTGTAGAAAATGAAGATGTTAAGATGGACTTGTAGTTATACTAGAATGAATAAAATAAAAACTTTCAATATATGTCAACGAGTTGATATAACAATAATTAGCGAAAAATTAAGGGAAGGAAAACACATTGTCCAGGCATGTCGTGGACCTAAAGCTTTGATTCACAAGAGCCATGCTATCCATGTAGAACTTTTTAGAAAGGAGACACAGACCAAAATTAACATAGCCTTATTTGGTAATGAAATATTTGATTTATTTTACTTTTGGTAGATGTAGTGCTGGGTCTAATGGGCGGAAAAAGATTGGTTCAGGTGACACCACGTTTACTGGGAAATTCAAATTCTATACACTCCATCTCTGGTTAACTCATGTATTTTCTGAATTTTTTTTCCATTCATGAAGTATTGCCTTGATGTATCTATGATTCATTCTCAGCTCAATTGCTATACTTCGTTTCGTTCACATGCTGTTTAATCTTTTTGGTGTCTCCATTCTATACCTTGTTTTTTCATTTTATTAAATGTAAAAAATCTTTGTCTGATGTAGATACAAGTATGACAATAACACAATAATTGAGGCTTCATCTCCTGATATAAGCTCACCATTACACCATCAGCTTTATGGAAACGGGAAGATTGGAGGTGATGCTCCTTCAAGAGGGAGTGAAAATCAACTTCTGGAAAGACAGGTCTTCCTTCTCTATCTAGTGGCCTCTTTAGGTATCGACTTTTGTTTTATTTTTCAATTGTAAGTAATATATTTTATTTCCTACAGAAAGCACATGTTCAGCAATTTTTGGCCACTGAAGATGCACTCAACAAAGCTGCTGAAGCTAGAAACATGAGCCAACTACTTTTGAAACGTCTCCATGGAACTGGTGGTGCAGTTTCAAACCACTCACTTATCGCTGCAGGAACATCACAGAGTATGAGCAGCCTCAGGCAACTTGAGGTAATATTTATTCTATTTTCTAGGTATGCATGAGCTATGTCAGTTGAGTTTCAATGATAACATTATAATGGACTTGCGTTATCGATGGTTCTTTTTTGAAATTGGAGTTGTATTTTATTGGGTTTAGATGCCTTTTGGATTTAGCTTATGCTGCATAAAATTAGCTTTGAGCAGGGCATGACAAGTCATCTTTATAATCAAGGAAGATTAATCTCATTGTTGCCTTGCCATCCCCCCACATTCATGTAAAAAGGGAGTGGTCCCCACACTTCCGAGATCACTATCCAGCTGCTTTAATTTGCAGTTCGGACGCCATCTCTTAATTTACTCAATTACCCTAAGAAAAACTCATAATGTGCTAAGACGACCCATCATATGTATATTCTGAGGTGTCAGTGATATGATACAATTAATTAAGAATCACCTTTGTATTCACTTGAAATATTTGTTTGATTTTCTAATGTGTTACGGGTAATATTTCTTTGGGAAGAAAAAATAAGACTAGAAGGTTAGGCAGAGCTTGGTTCTATGTTGGGCTGCAACTGAACTGTTGATCTTGAACCAGCTTTAAAATTTGTACTTTCACATATTGATAGGCCGAAGCATTTTATTATAATATGGGCGTGGACTGAAGAGCAGGTTAAAATGCAGAAATTTGGCATTGGTGTAGAAAGAGATAAGTATGAAAACAGCACTTTGAGGTACTTCTAAACAATGAGGAACTCCATCATCTCTTTCTCTCCATGCATGTGCAGTGGCCAATCAACAATGTCAAATGATTAGCCTCCCATGCTGGTAGTTGACGGGTCATAAGGTTACTGTTTGAAAAAAATAGGAAAACGAAAAAAATGCAGTCGGTGCAAGGTTGTTATGTTTAGCTTTTACAGAAAGGACATTTGTGTTTCTTTTGGAAGAACTTTTGTACGGCCAAAAATATGGTTATTTTGCATATGTATTGAGTTTTTTCTTCCTATATCGTGATTCTGGCACTGATTGGGAGATTATGGACATACCTATGCCCCTGCTGCTCTTCAATTGAAAAAAAAATAACTATTAAGTATAACATACATCTTCGATTGATCATTTACTTAATGTAAAAGTTTCGTGCATGTTTTTTCAGCCTTTTTGTTGTTCAGTTTTTTGGGTAGTAATTCGACTCTAAGTTCAAAACTTTTCACTGCTTTGTACATCATGCATCTGCCTCTCTCCTTTGCAGTTAGAGGTTTGGGCCAAGGAAAGAGAAGCTGCTGGATTGCGGGCTAGCTTGAACATATTGATGTCAGAAGTACAACGCTTAAATAAATTGTGTGCTGAAAGAAAGGAAGCGGAGAACTCATTAAGAAAGAAGTGGAAAAAAATTGAGGAGTTTGATGCCCGCAGATCTGAACTGGAAACAATCTACACTACATTACTTAGAGTAAACATGGTAGGATATCTCTCTCTCTGAAAAACCATTTCTATCTGCGGTAGGACTGGTTTAAGTTATTTCCCGAGACAATAATAATCAATAATTTTCCTGTGATAAATTTGCATAAAGTAATTAGGTAAAATTACATCCTTAATTTCAAATTTCAATCCTCAAATCAAAAGCATCAGTAATGGTCAGACGATAAAGTGCTGAAAATATGGCTTTTTTATGTTGGAAAGAGATTCTCGCTTCTTTCTCTCTTAAAACCAACCTTTTGTCACCCCTTTGTGGAGAATAGTTGCTGTCAGCAGTAATGATAAGTCTAAGAGCAAACAGGATAAATAATCGTTACTCTTTCAACAAAAGAAATTCCTTGAATTGGTTTTCCATTTCGAAGAATTTCAATATTTGAGTAGAGAATTCATTCTTTTTATGCTCCACTTGTACACATTTTCAGTTGAGCTGGAATACATGGCCAGTTGGCCACCATTTTTTCTTAATTTGTATTGGGAACTATGAACAGTCGAGTTTTAATCTCTGTGTAAAAATGTGTCCATTCTTAGGCCATGACATATTATTTCTCGTGACATCAAGAGAAGGTAAGTTCATTAAAAACCATAAGATGGAGGGAGTATATTGGTAACCATCTCACCAAGTGGTTTATAAGGACCACAAGGCTGCTTTAGTTGATAAATTGAACTTTTGTTTATAGACTTTAGCAATCTATTGGTTTATTAATTTTCCCTGGATCCTGTAGGATGCTGCTTCTTTCTGGAGTCAGCAGCCATTAGCTGCAAGGGAGTATGCATCAAGCACAATAATTCCTGCATGTAATGTTGTTGTGGACTTGTCAAATGGTGCAAGAGATCTCATTGATAAGGAAGTTTCAGCTTTCTATCAAACTCCTGATAATAGCCTTTACATGCTTCCATCAACGCCTCAGGTATGTAAATGCAGATTAAATAACATACGTCTGAATGTGTCCTGCAATACATGTTGTCTGATTTGCAGATCAGAATGCTAGATTCATTACGTCACTTTTTTTGATTGAAACTTATAATTTATAATTTTAATTGATGTTGGCTTTATTTTCCCAATATATGGATAAGTACATTTCATAAGTAATTCTTTCATTTGAGTGAGCTCTTAATTTGATACGTCTACCTGCTGATAAGCTAATATAAGTTAGCCTCTTTCTATAACAATTTTCTACCTCAAACCTTAAAAGTCAAAAGAGACCCATCCAGCAACAAGAAAATACCAGTTCACATAATCGTAATATTTGTATCATTCAGGTCTCTTATACACCCTTTTCTTTCTGATCAGGCACTCTTGGAGGCAATGGGTGCTAATGGATCTACAGGACCTGAAGCAATTGCTACTGCTGAAAGGAATGCTGCAGTGCTGACTGCAAAAGCTGGTGGCAGAGATCCTTCTGCATTACCTTCTATATGCCGTATTTCTGCTGCCCTGCAGTATCCTGCTGGTTAGAATTTGTCCATCATTAGAATTTCTCCTGGGTGCTTTCTTGGATAGCATGCTGGTGGACTTTGAGTAAATCACCTCGACTTTGGTTTTGTGTAAAATATGTTAATCAAAAAGGTGATATTTAGTCTTCTGTATGTGATAGTCCCACTTCTTGGTAAGCTTTGGGCATAAAGAGTCTTTACAAGGACTTAGCATGAATTCATATAATTTTTCATTTCAATCTCCAAGATTTGTTCCAACCACAAATAGGTCGTTAGAAATTCGGGCCAAAATTTGTACCAAAGTTCCTGTGATAAAAGAAAAACTAGAACTTGATAAAAGAGAAACTCAAACTTATTCTTAGTTGTCACATTTCTGAATATGAATTGGCTATGGTTCCCAACGACATTCCTTGACCGAAATTGGTTTTTTACCAAGTATTAAGGAGTTATTCTTGTTGTACCTCTGTGGATGTGGAAGTGGTTGGTTGGATGATCTTTTCTTCATGCAAGATTACCTCTGACCAGTATACATATCTGATATAATATGTTTGTACTAATTATAATTTATCCCTAGGGCTGGATGGCTTGGATTCTGGATTAGCATCAGTCCTCGAGTCTATGGAGTTTTGTTTAAAGCTTCGATGTTCCGAGGCTTGTGTATTGGAAGACTTGGCCAAGGCAATTAATTTGGTTCATGTACGAAGGGATCTCGTTGAGAGCGGTCATTCATTGTTGAATCAGGTTCATCGTGCACGGCAAGAGTACGATAGGTACGTCTAACCCACATTGACTCTTTTGTGTTCTCATGCTGTCTGCATGGACATTTATTTGAGGCAGAATGGGAGGACCTGACAAAACTCAAATGTAGTGTTTGGGGCTGGGATTTGACGTTATTTAATTTACGTTTTTTTCCTGTTTACTGTTGTTTGTGTTTTCTTTTTCCTCACAAACATATGAATTATGAGTAGGAAGCACAAACATGAGCATTAAGAGTAAACCTATTTGGTCTTTTCTTTTGGGACAAAGGTAGATGGCTTTACTGATTTACGTTTACTCCATCTTGCAGGACGACTAATTATTGTCTAAATTTGGCCGCTGAACAAGAAAAAACTACTACGGAGAAGTGGATTCCAGAATTAAAGAATGCTGTTCTAAATGCTCAAAAATTCCTTGAAGACTGCAAATATGTCAGAGGCTTGGTTAGTAACCTTCAATACTTCCAAGTTATTTTCCTTTTTTCTGTAGATGAGATAATATATTTTGGGCTGTTTAGCAGGGTTTCTGCTCTAGGAAGTTACCTTAAATCAGCTTTCTCTAAAAGCTCTTCTAGCGTGATAGCGCTTCCAGGAAATACTTCTAGAAAATTATTTGAACAGGTTCCAAAGCAATTGCTTAGTCTAAAAAGCAGCTTTTGACTTTTCAAAAGCCTCTCAAACAGGCCCTTTTTCTCCTTTTGTCTTTATTGTTTCTAAAATCTTATTGGAAAGATGATTTAATATACTAATGTGTGAGAATTCAAGTTGGCTAGTTGTCAAAACTTCATTCCCACACGTCATCAACTGCTTCAACTTTTGTTCCTTTTCCGTTTCAGCTTCTCACCTTTTCCCTTCATGTACAGAACTTTAACCTAAGTTCTGTTGCTTTTGTTCATACATAATTTAGGTTTATGTGAACTTCTACATTCTCGTTTTAGAATTATTATGTTAAGACATGACCTCAATATCCTCGAACCAATGTGTGACTTCCATATTGTAGGTTAAAAGACCTATTTTGAACCTTAAAGCTGTCTCCTTAAACAAATTGTAATTAAATGGACAACCAATATGACTTTTGCAATAGAAAGTCTGAAGTTCCTTTTAGTTGTGAACTTGATCATATTCAGCGCACCATGGAAGAAGCCCAGGTTTTGGCACTAAAAGATAATATTTTCTGTTTCTGCATTGCAATCTCTGGATGTGCATGTTTCTTATTGATATAACATTTGTAAATGATGGGCTCGTATTAACCTGATACTACAGAATCGTTACACTTTGCATGAATGTGAGAGAGAGGCAGTCTCATGAGAAACAAACCAGTAAATATGCATATCCAAGTATATGGCTGTGCTTTCTAGGTGACTGATATCCAATACTTCACTTTCAAATCAGACTGTTGTATCCTTTGAATTACTGAAAGATATCCAAGTGACTCGTCTGTGTTTTACATCAATTCTCCCCATGGTTCCAAATTCCAATCCTTTGTACATATTTTTAATAAACACATGAATAGAGTTGTTTGTTTAGAATAATCTTACTCTTGGTCTTATTTTCCGTTGTTTCTGTGGCATTGTTTGTAGCTTGATGAATGGTGGGAACAGCCAGCCTCAACTGTGGTTGATTGGGTCACTGTCGACGGAGAAAATGTCGCTGCATGGCAAAATCATGTGAAGCAGCTTCTGGCATTTTATGACAAGTAACCTCTGCTTAAGAATGTCATTTCACAGTCAAAAAAGGTGCTTTCTGTCTTTTTTTTTTACTTGTAGACTGTCAAAGTGGAATCTTAAATTGCTGTACCATTGCTGGGAGTCTTGTGTCATGAGACTTGCAAATGCTATTTAACGAGTTTGGAAGAAAGGATAAGAGGAAATGAATCGAAGCCTGCACGCTTGTACCAGGTTGTCTTGTATCATACTGCTAAGATGATTTCTTCTACTTCCAAGTAGCTGATTCTTCCTGTGTTTCTGGAAGTATCGTCTGATACGTTCAAGTCAAGTCACTATTTATCGCCCCAGTATCCGTCCCCGTGTCCTATAATTGTTAACACTTTTGTCAATTGTCCCATACTTTCTGTACAACATTTTCAGTTTGCTAATTAAGATGTCAAGGTAATGTGATCTTCACAAGAGACTGAAATTGATTAGCGTAGTGTTCTTCAGTTTGTTACAGTTGAATTCTAGACTCCTTGAGAAACTCTTCGGATCCATTTGATTGATAAAGATGGAAAGACTTTCCAATTCCATGTAAGTTGGAAAATAAAAATCCAAATACCCCATAGGAATTCATTTTCCATGAAATTGGCAAAAAAACAAGTTTAAAGTGGTTGTATCTTGAAATTCGAACTTCATTTTCACTTTCATATCAAACAGTCAAAGTAAAAATTAAATTCCTCAGATGTAACATTTTTCATGAAATTTAAATCAATCAAATGGACCCTTCATGACACAGATTTTCATGGCATGAGAATACGTGCAGCAATCAGTTTCTTGTATATATTTTCGACCATTTGGGATGACAAAATAAGATGAAAAGCAGAAGGCATGGACCATAATTTTCTCAGTCCAGAATTAAGACTATCAGCAATACAGCATCAAGCAGTCTATGATGGAAATAGTACAGCAGGCTCTTCTATTTTACATTATGGAAGTTCAAAAGTTTCAGTTTTATGAAACGGCATTAGAGTATGTTTTGATCATCCACCGCCACTAGAGATATTCCTACAAGATTACTCGAGCAAGAAACAAAAAATATTTTGAGAAGATAATCCTGTTACATGTAAAGAAGATGTCTTTCATCAGATAAGATGTATCAAAAATTTTACAGGGCCGCATTCCCCTCACTCTCACTTATCCAACAAGGATTGTCCTTTCACCTTTTATAATCAAGCTTCAGCAGCAGCTTCAGTTAAGATGACTCTACCGAAAGTTCAGTTCATTGCATCATAGTCGTCCATCTTATCGTTGTATTCCAAGACCCTTCTCTTTATCTTGGATGTATCAACCCACGTAATGAAGTCTTCCATATTTCTTGTAACAAGGAATGCCGGATCAGTAACAGAGTCAGGTCCAACACGAATATGTCCCTGCTCAATATACGTGACTGCTTCTGTCAAGTGTTCGGCCATCTTCAGACGTACCAGGACACTGGACAGCCAGCGCCTGAGAGACAGAAATAAGCCACATGAAGAAAAGATTATTATTACTACTACTTTAGTATTCCTGATTTATAGAAGATTTTAGAGCATAAGATGCGTGTTAGATAGTCTGTATAAAAAAACAAAATATTAAGTTATTTTACTTCCTCAATTGTCAATGTAGTCCGATGCTTTCTAATATTCTTTACCAAACGTGCAAAATAGCAGTTAACATGTATGCACAAAATCATCGATTTGAAGTTGAATATGATTATTAATAAGAAGTCGCAATTCGTAGCATCTATAATTTCATTATCTTGTAAACTAAACAACTCATAATTTGGGCATGCTCAGAATTTTAAGCAATTAGATTGGATTGTAACCCCCCACGTACCTACAAAAAGATGACACTGATAAACGATCACATAAAGCCAAACTTTTACGAGATGGTATCACACCCATGTTGTACCTGCATGGATGAAAAACACGTGGGATTTCATTCTCTGTCTTGAAGGAACGTTTAATGACTTACCCAACAATATAAACAACCAAAATAATCAAATCTACAATAATTTTGATTTTTGACTAAAGTAAACATTTACAAATGCAGAAAAATTTAATTAGCTTTTCTTATCTTCAAATCCCCTTAAACCAGCAACCAACTTCAAGGCATTAGAATGTATTGAGGCAGCACGGTTAAAAGTTTCTTTGATCATCAATAACAAATTTTAATCTGGTAAAACATTGAAAGATTGATAGAAACTAACACCTATAGCTTCAATGCTGAGATCTCTCGAAAAAATATCATTATCATCCTTCACATTTATTTTTTTTGGGACGGTGGGGGGAGTAGAACTCTTCAGATTCATATGCCATCCAACATTAGCACTTGTCATACTCTCACACAGAAAAGAGTTTGTCTTTATCTACAGCCTCTACATATCTAAAACCATTTGATGCCGATCTCAAATTCAGGAGCAGAAACTATATTCCAACCGGGATAAGGCCTTTCTCACTAGGGAAAGGAGGTGCAGCCCATGCACAAATTAGGCTAGTCGAGAACTTTTCCGGTTTTCCCCTTACAGAAGAATGGAATAGAGTAACACAGAAAACATGTCAAGCATGGAAATTTTGGCCTTATGTTTTTAGCATCAATCAAGTAACTCGGCAAGAAAAAAACTTGTGCTCACTCTAAATCTGGATTTTCATTTTTCTTTTCAGACAACTAACTTATAATACTAAGGTCTAGAGACTATTGATAATTGCACAACAATGTAGTTAAAAATCTCCTCGATTAGGATATGAATATCAAAATTGAAGTTTAAGGAGAAGACTCACAGCTTTTCAAGGATGGCATCGGTCATCTCAGTCCGAAAGGGGTCTCTAGTATCCATCTGTTTTAGTATGTTCACTTGTTTCTGCACCATTCTGCACAGACTCGAATACCTAACAAACATATGGCAATCAATTAAACAATCTCACTTTAATCAAAACACTAAAAAATTCAAAACTTCAAAGAGACATGGAACTAATTAATGGGACTCAATCTCGTACAAATGAAGAAAGGATGAGAGGTATACTTCTTGTAGTCGTCTCTGCTGGTTACATGGTAACGGTGCATAACAGAGGCTTCTCTGTGGCCGCCTTCTCTTTTCCATTCCAAGAAATTCACTTTCTTCAGTAATTTCTTCTCATGAAATTTCAGCTTCCTCATCTTCTCTTAATCTATATATGGATGGGTGAATATGAATGCAAAAGGAGAGAGAAGATTAGACAGAGGAGAAACCCTGGTTCTCAAAACCCTAGATTTAAAATTTAGATATGGAGTTAAAGAGCTGGCAAGGGGTATAGGGTATAGTAGGAAAATCTGAATGTTCAACATTGCAGTTTTTGCTATTAAAATCAGATTCCAAATTTATTGGGTTCCAACACCAACTCACGGCCTCCCTTTTAATATTGTATTGCAATTATAAACCAAAAATCGAGGAAAATAATGATTTCAACATCTTTATGAGCAATTTTATACGTTGTACCATATTGTTCAAATTTGGAAACAATTTCCAAAATCTTTAATTTGCCAGAAGCAATCTTAGACAATTTTATTTTAACTCAGGCTGATAAGTGACAATATGCAAGAAGCAAAACTTCATTTAACTCAAGCAACAATTTAATTTCATTTAATTTGCAAAAACTAGTGACCTCATACAAATTAACAAACAATACCAACCACTAGTTTTTGGGTTTAAGCATAAAGCTGAAAGCTTCAACATAAACATACAGGTTAGTCTGCACAGCCAAAAGTCTTATTATAAATAATAATGTATAAATTCACCTTTAAATTACACTACAATAGAAAAAAAATCAACAAAGAGAAGATGATATATGTAGTCTTATTCGTATCCCGATACGCTTTTTTAAAGAAAAACAAGATTTAAATATTGTAAACTGTCAAATTTGTGGAAAGAAAAAAAGCTACATGAATTAACCCGTTATCATTTGGTCTTAGGCAACACAATACATTCACACTTCCCGAACACAATGAGTAACACGATGTGAAAAAGGGAAAATAAAATAAAGTATTAACCGAAAAACCAAAAAATTTAATAATCATACAACAGAATACAATAATAGATGTATACAGGTATTTTATTACCTGAATGAGAGCAAATAATATGGAAGTACCAGTCTTGACCGAATATGTAGAGAAATTCAAACGTTAGCGAGATTGTCCCCTCCCCAACTCTCTTGGATATTAGGGTTTTTCACTGTATTTGAGTTTAATTGGCCTTGGCCTTTTTAACGGCCGTTTAAACATTTTAAAATATAATGATAAATAATAAAATATTCAAAGTTGTTAAAAGGTAATTAACATGTTTATACATTTTAATATTATTGTGCAAAATATCTTTACCTTCATTTTTTAGTGTTTATACTCTTAATTATATCATTAATTGTGCAAAATGTTATTTTTGTTCTAAACCATCAAACTTCTTTGTTAAGTGAACGCCTGTAGATAATTTTTTTCAAAACGGAAGGATATTATCGTCTTAGAATTTTTTTTTCCATTCTTCCCACCATAAACATGTTCATCCATAACCAACGCTAACACTAATATGAAAATAATTTATAATTTATTCCATTAAATATATAAAAAATGACATAAAAAATATTGTATTTTACCCAGAGAAGAATAATGGCTACTGTAATGATGAATTACCCATCAAATTTGAATGGTAGATGTAGAGATTGAATATGTGATCGATGAACTAGAGAGTTCATCTCCACTTTCATTTGCAATTAAATGTATAACTATGGGTAAGTTTAACTTAGATCACAACCAATTCAACTATCCACGTTTTCTCTCTCCCTGAACCCTTTCCCCATTAACCCTTGTTTTAGCTGGCTTTCGTCGTCCGGTTTCCTCTAGGCTCTTCGGAGTCCTAGTTCTCTCTCCTCGTTTCTGGCGGTGGAGTTTTTCCCTTCCCGGCTTCGGTCGGTGGAGGTTCCCTCCCCGGCTTCGGTCGGTGGAGGTTTTTGCCTCTCCGGTTACGGCCAGTTGAGGGCTTTGTTGTTGTGTTTTCCTTTCGTGTGCGTGGTCTGTTGTGGGTTTGTTGAGGTGGTGTGTTGATGGGTGTTGGTTGGGTTGTGCTTCGGGAGGTGGTGGTTTAGGTGGTGGCAGGGTCTGGGAGGTTTGGTCTCTTTTGTTGTG